TGAAAACATTGTGTCAATTCTAATTTATACTGACATTGTTAATTTAAGTTCCTATATAAACACTTCAAGTGTTTAATAGTCACATGTAACTATTGACTAGTTTTGGACAAGGCTGAAATTTCTACTCTAATTAAGTACTCATTAATTGAAGCCTCAAGTGGAAATCCTAAAGGATGCTATGAGTAGAATATTTAATGATCCAGGAAGCATCAAACATAGATAGAAGCTGTACATGGAGTCAACGTACTGAAAAGGACTGGCTAACACAGAAGAATTCCATAAAAACAAAACAAATGACATGTGGCAATGGTGATGAAAGAGACAGTTCAGGTTGTTCTGAAGGAATTAGCAAAAAGCGAAGCCCCAGGAGTGATTTATGGCATACCCTTGACATATTTCAACAAACAGAGCTACCGTGATCATGCTTACCAGGTTGCGCCAAGCAATCTTGAGGACAGCTACCTGGCAACTGACTGGAGGAGATCCATATTTATTGCCAATCCAAACACAGGTGAGCCAACAAAGTCTGGAAATTTTCAAATAATATCCAATGAAACTAATATGCAAGCAAAATCCTGCTTAAAGATTATCCAAAATGTTTGGGGCGGTACAATGACAGAGAGAATAAAGCTGTGTTTAGGAGAGTTCTTGGCATTAGGGACATCATTGCCAATGTCAGATGGATCTTGTCTGAGAGCAGAGAATACCAGAAGAATGCCTATCAACGTTTCATTGAATATGCAAAGGCATTTAACTACGTAGCTCACAAAAAATTGTGGCTAACATTGAGAAGAATGGAAATTCCAGAGCATTTGAGTGTGTTTATGCAGTACCTATACTTGGACACCATCAGAACAGTTATCAGAACAGAGCAAGGAAACACTTGTTGTTTATGATGTTGATTGCCTTTGAGTTGAGCATGACTCATAGTGACCCTATGAACAAAAAGTTTGAAGCCCCTCTACAACTACATGGTTCAAAATCAGGAAAAGTATGTGTAAGAAATGCATCATCCCTCCATTTTGAAGCTCTGTTTCACATACTTTGGGCATGTTGCCAGGAGGGACCAGTCCTTGGAGAAGCACACTATGCTTGGAAGGGTTTACAGAGAGCACAAGAGAGGAAGACTCTGGATTAGATGGATAAACACAGTAACTGATAATGGAGTTAAGGTGTGTTAGAGACAGTGAGATTGTCCTAGGATCGGACAGGGTTCAGTGCTATTGAGAACAGCATTGCTATGAGTCATAGGCAGCTCAATGGCATACAACCATGGTAAAAGAAATTCTAAAGTGAATCTATCCAATTACAAATAGGAGCTTAGCAAAACCCTTGTATTTATGGCAGCTCGTACATGGACAAGGTCATGTTGCTACCTAACCTGTATACAGACTACGCTAAGAAGGAAAACTTTTTCTGGGTTGTTAAATGCCACACACAACTCACAGATAATACTCAAGGTTATAGGGTTTATTAGGGAAGTTAACAGGTTATAATTCAAGTTGGAAACAGAATATAATTCTTCAGCCAGGACAGTTTCTATGGCTCATAGAGCCTTTGACCTATATCATGGAAAATCTCACAGCTTCAGGCCAGTGTTACAAAGCTCTTATATTCCTGTAAATTATGGCATTTCTCTTTAGTTCTCCCTTCTCCTGAAAACCTGAGCCAAAGCCCTCAACACTGGCTCAGTGAGACAGCAGTTTCTGTTCGGCTCTGTTTTGTTTCTGTCTCTGATTCTGCACAACCTATCCTGCTGATGCTCTGGTCTCAGTCTTGATCTGTCTCACACAAGATTCTCTGACCCAGATTGATGTACTCTACATTCTCTGCTTTTTTCTTACCTACAGTAAGATACCCCTTTTCTGCCTCAAAACCTTTTCCGTTTTAGTCTGATGGGATAGCAAAACTAATCAATCTCCTTAATAGTCAACCGTTTGTTTGCATCCCCTACCCAGAAGGTGCTACTATTCACCTCCTTTAAATATTAGCATAATCCCCCCCATGACAGGGTGTAAATCAAAGCCAACAGCTTGGAAAGCCATTTTCAATGATCAGCCCAATGCTCCTCAGCTGTAACACTTGAGTTGACTTTATGATTTTGCATTTTTAAAACCACTGTATTTCAACAGTACTAGAAGCTGAAGAACATCATTCCTCTAACTACAAGTAATTTGATTTCTCCATAACCAATATATACACTAAATTACAAAACAACTAGAGGCGACTACTTAAGTGTTTCATTTGGGACTCAGATAAAAACTTTTAATAGAGATCTAACATCTCTCCTAGTGAGATGTTCCCTCTGCCCTCTTTCCACAGCAGCTACTAAGTTACATAAATGGGACCAATCAAGCTCTTTGATCAGCTAAATGACTTTTTAATATCTAAGGAAGCTAGGACATGGGGGCCAAATCAGAGACTGTCACATGAGATGTTAGATCCTCTGAGATCATTTTCAGCTGTAATAACAGTGATGAGCCATAAGCTGATAGCCAAGTCTTTGGGGCAGATCGTCACCAGCAGTCATTAATTCAGGCCCATTTCAGTTCTCCTCCGGGCTAGGTATTGTTTTATCTATGTGCAGCCTCCATTCCACAGAGTTTAAAAGGGTCTAACAATTAAAAGGGAATCTCTTGTCAGTTTAAGCTTAAATGTAGACAGGTTAAATCATGAGGTAATTTCTTATGAATTAGTAATGTAGCGAAGTTCATTGAAATTTAATGGGCAGTATTGACTAGTTTTCTCAGCTTCCTATAGAATTAACTATTTGTATCCCTCAGAGTGTCTGATCCTTTCTCATACATGGGGCTTTTCTCTCCTATTTAGGCAGTAGCTACCAGGGACTGTGTATGTGTCTGCTGCCTCTATTCAGTCCCCTAGAGCTCTTCCTCAATACTCAGTGACCCTTCCTAAGCCATGGACTGATGAGAAGACAAAAAACCAACCCACCCAAACACCTTTAGTCATGGCCCTTAGGACTCAAGGATTTCACCCAGGCTGCAAAAATGAATTTAATTAAAATAATAAATATATTTTTAAAAGAATACCTGTGTATGAGTACCTACTAAACCCAAGGAGGGCACAATTACTAATGTTTCATATAAATCAAGCACAGTTTTCTGTTAGTAGATTAATCAGCCCCTTCTCTGTGACATTTGTGCTGAGGCCTGGAAATGATACATCCTGACTGTATCAACAGACCTGACACACTGGCACACATTTTTTTTAACCTCTCTGAGCCTTAGTTTTCTTCTTCTATCAAACAGAAACAGTCCTGCTGCTAAGTTTTAGAAAGAAATATGTAACATAATAGTTTATTTTAGTTATTTTCTTTCTTTCATGCCATTAGTAAGAGTGAAATCTTTTTGAGCAGACCATTTTAGTCCTGGTGAGAAAGTTTCTCATTTAAATGGAAAAAGCCAGGCTTGGACTTGGTTATATCACGTCGTTCTGTATAGAACAAGAATTAGAATGAACAAAACCAAAATGAAATGGCTTACTTTTAATATGGTGTCATAATATGACCATGGAAGAAATTGTTCTAGAGATCCCTGTGTTAGGTTAAAAGAGAATATCTTAGCATAATTATAATTAATCTCCATGTTATCAAACTTTGTAAGCACATTCATGTAAATTATTTAAGGTGGGATCAACTCCCAGTTATTGTTAGGTGCTATCAAGCCAAGCACTATTAATAATGATTTTTTTTTTTTTTTTAGTAATCAATGGGCTTTATTTTCCTGGAACTGAGATTGTCTACTGTCTCAGAGCTAAACTTTGTCCAAAGCTACAGTCAGCAATTTTTCATCAGAGCCCAAGGGAGAAAAGGGGCAAGAGTGAAAGACAAGAGACAGAAGAGAGGCGTAGAGACAACTAGGAAGAGGTTGGGAGAGGGCTCTTATTTCCCTCCGTCCTCTCAGAATCGGCTACAAATTTTATCTGTTGACAACACTGAGGGGACCAGGCAGGTATGTGGATGGGAAATGACACTGGAAGGAATACCAAAGCCCCAGCTAGAAAAG